CTGCAGTTCAAGTCCCAGATCTGGTGGCTTGCTTTCTCACTTTCGCTCGCTCTCTCTCTCTCTCTCTCTCTCTCACACACATACACACACACGCACACCCACCCACCCACACACACACACATACACACACATTCTGTCCCTCTCTGGTCAAATTAAAATAAACAAACATAAATAAAGTTAAATAAAATAATTCTTTCTTAAAAAATGCTTTAACAGATCCGCAGAGGTGTACTTCACTTATGTTTCTGAGACCCTTCCCTGAAATTTGGGTACTAAGAGTCCATATCCTGTGGCTACCCCAGGAGCCTTTGGTCCTTTAACTCCTGCTATGATCCTTTTCCTCCACGACTGTCCATCCAAGCTGGTTCTGTGGGTGGAGTACATCTCTTCTCGTGTCTTTGAAATATACTTGTGGGACAGAACTTACGTTATTCCTACGCTATTAATTGTCTTACTGTGTGACTTCAAATGTGTATCATTCTAGGGACCAGCAGATAGCGTAATGGCTATGTTGCTGGACTCCCATGTAGTCCAAGGTGGTTTGAGTCCCGGACCTGGTGGCTTAAACTCACACTGGGCACATGTACGTGCATGCCCAAGATTCCAAGAGGAGAATGGAGGAGAAGGGATTGCAGCATGGCCATCCCCCTGGGGGGTGATTTCTCGTTTTCTGTCTCTCTGTCTTTGTCTTTCTGGCGAATGCATGTGCCCTATAGCAAAAATCTCTCCAAAAAAAAAAAATGTGTATCATTCTATTAAAACAACTTCTTGATCACTTTTTATGTGCAAGACATTAAGGGGATTTAAAAGATGATTAAAACTTGGGACCAGCAGATAGCCTAATGGTTACATTACTGGACTCCAACGTACTTGACTGTGGTTTGAGTCCCAGACCCGGTGGCTTAAAACTCATGCCAGGCGCATGTGCATGCATGCCCAAAATCCCGAGAAGAGACTAGAGGAGTAGGGATTGCAGCATGGCCCTTTTTTTTTTTTTTTTTAAAGAAATTTTTGCTATAGGGCACATGCACTCACCAGAGAAACAGAGAGAAAGAGACAGAGAGAGAGAACCGTGATAAATCAACCCCAATTTCACCACCCGGGGGGGATGGACAGGGGTGTAATCCCTTCTTCAGTCTCCTCTCAGGGTTTTGGGCATACATGCGCACATGCACAACAGTTTTTCAAGCCTCTGGGATTAGAACTCGAACTGCATAGTCAGCCATGTGAGAATCCAGCTGCCACCTCCATGCCACCTGGTGAACCAGGAAATCTGGTGTGTATTATTGCTGCAGGCTGGCAGTGATGGCGATAGTTACCATAGATTCCTACGCAGTAGAAATGATAGATTCTCAGTATGTTAGCACACAGCCACGTGAAAAGAGGTGAGGAGAAATGTCCTGCTAATAAATGAAGATCTCTGCCATACTGTCAGGGTATTGACTACGGATTCAGGAGTAAATCATAAATGACTAAGGGCTAAACGTGTGGCTGTCGAGGCTGCACATGGAGAGGACACTCACGTCCTTACCCAGCGAGTACCACCATGGATCCACTCATTTCTGTGGACCTTCCCTTACAGAGAAGCAGAAATACTTTGGGGTAGAAAGAGATGTAAGATTTTTCTTTCTTTTTTTTTGGGGGGGGGGAAGGTTTTGCTATAGGGCGCGTGTGCTCACCATAAAGACAGAGAGAGGCAGAGAGACAAAAAGTGAGAAATCACCTCCAGGGGGGATGGCCACGCTGCAATCCCTTCTCCTCCATTCTCCTCTCGGGATCTTGGGCTCGCACACACATGCACCCGGCGTGTGTTTAAGCCACCGGATCTGGGACTCGAACTGTGGTCGACTACATGGGAGTCCAGCAACATAACCATTATGCCAACTGCTGGTCCCGACATATTTCTTTCTTAATTACATTTCCCCTCTGAGAGCATATTAGGTAATCTGAAAAGTCGTGACTTTTCTGACGCCCCAATATTTAGTGATTTTTCCATTCATGCCATAAAGGATTTCTGGTTATTTTGTTAAGAGGAAAACTCTTAAATTTATCTGGCTCTTTTCCCATTATGTGTCAGGAAAAAAAATGTTCAACTTGCAAGTAAGTGATACAAGTGCTGCTTCTTTTCTCAGAGATGTTGTCAAAAGTTCGTAAAAATTTTACGTGTGTTTTATGTGATTGAATGTCTTCAACATTGCCGGCCTTCAAGTTTGAGATTTCCTTTCAAAGTCAGAAACCAGAAGTCCTTTATCCAGGCTGTTGGAATCCAGCTGCTTGTATCTTTAAATGCTGGGAATTAAACCACAGTTTTAAGCAGAGTTCACTCTCTTGAAAATGTCCAGGTTCACTTTGAATCATCATTTAAAAAAAAAAAGGCAAAATAGGATTACATTTTCTCTTGAATTGTATTTGTTTATTTTTATAATACAAAGACATGAGCAATGGAGGGTCTTCGGTTAATTTTAATCACTTTAAGCTTAATTATTTCCTGCCAGTTAAGATTTTAATCACTTTAAACTCAATTCTTTCCTGCAAGTTAAGATCATAGTAGAGTGGCAATCATACCGTCAGAAGCAGTCCCAGTGCGGTCATACAGGCAGCGGGTGACAGAACAGGATCCTTACCCAGGAAATGTCTCAGTGCCTATGTTCTGACCCCGCGCTCTGTGGCCACGCAGCTTCACTTCGTGTGACTTTCTGTATGTTTCTGTGTTCTTGCTTCCTGTCCATGGCATTGTCTGATGCCTATCTTCTGTAACACTGACGAATCCTCTTCCTTTATATCTCATTTGTTTCACTTTTCTGTTTCTTACTCACTTTCCTGGCTAATGCTGGCCTGTGCAAGGCATCCAACCTGTTCATTATAACCAGATTACATTTTTATTTTAGACCTCTGTTAGAGGCATGGATTGTGGTTATTCCCTTGAACTATTGGCTGTAAAGGATTTGTATTTTCTTCTGAGAGAAAGCAATGCACAGAGTTGCCCAAGTTAGTTATTTTACTGTCCTTAAATATGAGCAAAACAAGTCTTTGAGTACTGGGAGAAATTTCAGGTGAATATCTATGAATTTTGGCACGTTGTCAGACACAGGAGGCTATGTGCCAGGTATGAGAGTCACATAGCAACTTCTGAACTATCTGACATCAGATATTATTAAAGGATACGTTATCATCCTGACACTTGTTAAAGAATGGTCAGGTACCTTTATTTGGGATTGTTGCTGTAGGTGCAGGGACTATTTGTAATAGAGTTTTGGTCAAGAAGAGAATCTTTTTTTTTTTTTTTTTTTTGAGAGGTTTTTGCCATAGGGTGTGTGCACTCACCAGAGAGACACAAAACGAGAAACCCCCCCCATGGTGGGATGGCCTGGGTCCGGGACTCGAACCACGGTCGACTACACGGGAGTCCAGTGACATAGCCATTACACTAATTGCTGGTCCTAAGAAGGGAATCTTTGTCAGGTCTAAAAAACTATATACTGAGTCATCAGAAAAATCATGGTGTGTTTTTCTGTGCAAAAATGCATCATGACTTTTCCAACAATCCAATAGAAATTCAAAGTTTCCTTCAGTTTTCTCTCTGGACGGTATTCTGATGACTGAGTTTAGTGTCTCTCATGGTGGCCCAAGATGGTCTCTTGTATCAAATTTTATTCAACAAAAACATGATTCTTTTTTTTTGAGAGAGAGAGAAATTTTTTGTTAGAAGGGCACATGCACTCATCAGAGAGACAGAGAAAGACAAAGTGAGAAATCACCCTACTAGGGGATGGCCATGCCACAATCTGCTCTTCTCTATTCTCTCAAGATTTTGGGCACACATGCACACATGCCCCACATGAGTTTCAAGCCACCAGGTCCAGGACTCGAACTGCGGTTGACCAAATGGGCATCCAGCACCTTAAGCACTATGTCACCTGCTGGCCCCAAGATTTTTGTTTTTTGTAAACTTGAAGATAAAAATTAAATGTAGTGTCATCTATGGATTAAAAAACCTAACCAAGATCTTAATTTTGGAGAAGGAAACATAAAGCAGAAACATCCTATATTAAGCACTGAATGGTTTTCAGGATTTCTTGAATGTTGACCAGCAGTTAGCATAATGGCTATGTCACTGGATTCCCACGTAGTCTACCGCGGTTCAAGTCCTGGACCTGGTGGCTTAAATTCACGCCAGGCGCGTGTGCATGCGTGTCCAAGATCCCGAGAGGAGAATGGAGGAGAAGGGATTGCGGCGTGGCCATCCCCTTGGGAGGTGATTTCTTGCTTTCTATCTCTCTTTCTGGCAAGCGCACATGCCCTATAGCAAAAACCTCTCCAAAAAAAGAAAAAAAAAAATACTCTTAGCCCAACCTGGTGACACATTCAGTAGCAAACTGACTTCTGGAAGCCAAGTCACTGACTGAGGGTTCAGATCCCCACATCAGCTTGCAAATATGCTGGGCATGTGGCCACGATCCTGGCGGGGTGATGGGCAAGGAAAGGGAAGTGTTAAGGCTGCTTCTCTCTCTCTTTCCTGTGCACACATGCACTCTCTATCACTAATAAAATGCATTTTAAAAAACCAACAACAACAACTTAAAAATTGGCCAGTCCTATGGCTTTTATTTTATGAACGAGGTGGATCCCACATGGCTGTCTACAATTCAAATTTCAGCTCCAGAGGCTTGAAAGACAGTTCAGGTCATGTGCATACGTGCCCCAGACCAAATCCTGACAGAATGGAGAAATGGGAGAAGATGGGATTGTGGTGTGACCATACCCCTTTGGGGGATACCCTTCCCCCTACCCCCATTGCTATCTCTCTGATGAGCACATGTCCCCCTGGCTGGCAATTTAAAAAAATGAAAAGCGACAACTAAAAACTCAAATGCTCAAGGTCTGTGGATATTTAAGGAATTGTTTTCTGAACTAAGTGTTAGAATTGATTGTACCCATGCACTTCTGTAATTATTTTTGTGAACTAAGTCTGAGAAGGGTTTTTATTCTTTTTTTCCCAGACGGCAGACACGATGCCCAGGAGAGCAGTCTAAGAGACCTCATCAGGGAGCTGCCAGAGCCCCACTACTGCCTTCTGAAGTACCTCTGCCGGTTCCTGACCAAAGTAGCCAAGCACCATTTGCAGAACCGCATGAGTGTCCACAACCTCGCCACTGTTTTTGGGCCAAATTGCTTTCAGTAAGTCCAAACTTTGCTGTTAATGCCATCATATCCTCTTTTCTCTTTTCGATTGTGTAAAGTTACTGGGACAGAGAAACGTATTTTTGCCTGAGAAATCAACCACTTTACGTTGGAGGAAATTCTACCTAGCACTTGGGCAGTTTAGCCTTGTTTGACCCATTTTGGAAAAGATACATTATGCCTTTTTATGAAACCATCATTTGCAATAGTTCAAATAACCTTATTTAAAGTTCTGGAAATAGGTTTGATTTTTTATTTTAAAAAGCACTTAGAAAATCTGCAATCTGGAGACCAGGAGTTGGCGTAATAGCTATGTCACTGGACTCCCATGTAGTTGACCATGGTTTGAGTTCTGTACCAGGTGGCTTAAACTCACCCGGGTGTGTGCGTGCGTGCCCAAGATTCTGAGAGGAGAGTGGAGGAGAAGGGATTGCAGCGTGCCCATCCCTCCAAGGGGGTGTTTTCTTGCTTTCTCTCGGTCTCTGTCTTTCTGGCGAATGCACGCACCCTATAGCAAAAACCTCTCAAAAAAAAAAAAAAAAAAAAAAAAAAAAACCACAAAAACCCTGTAATCTGAAATGTTGATTAGTAGAAAGAGAAGATATATTCTACAGTGAGTTGTTTTCAATAGTGATAAAGTTCACATGACAGCTTATAGATAGGAAAATTATAAGCAGAACATGTCGGCGACAGAACAATATCACCTCAGCTTTATTTATCAGTTTTGAAGAACTAGGCTTAGACTAGAAATAAACTAGTTTACTTTGGTAGCTGTCATGTGCTTGCCACAGGAGCTTTTGTAAAACTTTATGTAGCCCATCCCTCTTGTCCATGGGCTCCAGATCCATAGATTCCATCACCTCTAGATTGAAAATATTTAGGGAAAAATTCCAGAAAGTTCCAAAAGCAAAATTTGAATTTTCTACATACTAAATACTATAGTGACTTTGCATAAAGAAAGTGATGGGTGGGCCTTATATTTGGCAGTGTAAGTGCTCTAGACATGCTTTTATATGGAAGGGTGTGCATAGGTTATATGTAAATATTGTGCTGTTTTATCTAAGGCACTTGAGCATCCCCTTGCAGGTCCTGCAACCAATCCTCCATGGAAGCAGAGAGATAACTATATTTTGTCTCTGTTTTCCTTAAACATCTTTAATTTTTTATTATGAAACATTATCTTACAATCCAGGAGCTTTGCTTTTAACTCACCTGTTCATCCCCCTGATATCAAATATGCTTCTTCTAGTTAGAAGGAGAAGAGAGAACACTCCTGCAGTAAAAGCTCTCAGAAAGAAGAAGCAGTCGCTAGCATTTATGTAGCACTTACTGTGTGTCGGGCACAGTTCCAGAGGCGCAGAACCATCATTCCCTTGCTCACTTTCCCGTGTGCATGTATGTCAAAGCGTTTGTAGTTTCCTAGAAGTCAGAGGGCCCTCCACAGTTTTCTATACTCTGACAGTTTACGTCTCGTGAATTCTCTGCCATTTGGGTTGTCTGCACCTGATGCCATTTTGGAGTGTAGAGCTCTGATACCTTTTTTATTTCTTCCATGAATTTGTCGATTCGAGTTTTTTAATTACCGCTGAAGCTAATTTTAATACTTCAGTAAAGTAACCAAGAAGATCAATTATTTCATGGGGTTTTTGAAATGTATGTTGTATAAGGTCATATGAGCATTATTTTCAAATAGTTTAAAATTTCTTTGTCAGTTATTAATTTCTTCCTTCTCTTTTCTAATGAAAATTTTGCCTTTTTATTATTTCTCTGTATCAGAGTAGTGAAGTTGCTGGTCCCTTTATTGTTCTCTTAATTAACTTACTGAATAAATTTACTTTAAAATTGTTCTTTTATTAACTTCTACTTTAATTTAAACTTATTTTTTAAGCTTTTTCACAACTTTTTATTATAAAAAAATTTTAGCTGACAATTTGAAAGAATAATATAATAATCATATGTTTTCTCATTAGCTAGATAAATAAATTTAACTTTATGTGCATTACGTATACTTGTTGAATCATTGAACATAAGTGGCAGACCTTGGCTGTTTCACTGCTAAATACTTAATCTTGTGTGTGTGTACATTTGCCCATTCTGTTGTTTCGGACTTCTTTTTTATTTTTTTTTAAATTATTTTATTCAACTTTATTTATTTATTTATTTATTTAAATTTGACTAGAGAGAGATAGCATGAGAGAGAGGAAGAGAGAAAGTGAGAAAGCAAGCCACAGGTCTGAGACTTGAACCATGGTCAGTCATGTGGGAGTCCAGCATCCTTAACCACCATGCCACCTGCTGGCCCCTGTTTCGGACTTCTTGCTTAATAATTATATTGAGGGTTTTTTTTTCCTCCAACTACACTGACTTTTTAAAAACTAGGCATCAGTTTGTAGAATATTGTATATTCTGGATTTGTCTGATTATTTCCTCATGGTCAGTTTAAATTGTTTTTCTGTCTCCTAGATTTATTATAACCTATTAGTTAGATATAAAATCTTGGTTAGCAGTGGTTACACTTTTGGACACAAATACATCATTGTTGACATTGTGCTTAGTGGACATCATACCCCAGTAGGAGCTACATAATGTTAAGTTGTGACACATTATTGATGCGTGGCTGTTCTCTTGGTTACAGCCACCACTTTTATGTCTCTTGCTATTAAAGTTAGAGCCGTCCTTTATCCAAGTGGACTATTGCAGGGCTCCTTGGACATAGTGTAGGTGTCAGATCACAATCAAACTTTTCACTGGCTTGATTATCCACTGATCATCTTAGCCTGAGGAAAGTCTTTCTCTTCGAGTTGCTGAATGTTGACTTTCTAATTCCATTTGTCTTTATTGTTATTGTTTTTCTTTTAGTTGTATTCTGTAAAGAAGAGCTTTTCCTCATCTGGGGAATGAAGAACATTAAGTTTTCTGATGTTCAAATTACCCCACATTTGGCCAGTTGTGGGAGCCCCTTTAAACTGCCTGCTGTGTTCTTTTGACTTAACCCTAGACCTGCCCATGATGCCACTTGGTGAACTGGGCTCCTTAGAATACAAGATGGCAAACATGACGTTCCTCTTACTTCAGTGGTCATAGTTTTCATTCTCCTCTTATAGGCATCGTGTTGTTAGAAAAGTCATGACACATTTTTGCACAGAAAAACATAAGAAAAAGGCATCATGACTTTTCCGACAGCCCAATAGTACACACTTCTTACAGTATTTGGTATGCTTTTTAATATTTAACAAAATTTGAAATTGTCTTCTCATTTTTAAACACCAGCCAGCTTCTTCAACTTAGTACTTACATCACACACACATCTTATGACTCCCTCAGATTGTCTTGGCACTAAGCACCTCGCAGACCCGATCTCTATCACTAGTCTTGGACCTTTCATCTGCCCCGTGAATGTTAGATCCTGCTCTGTGGCTGCTGCCTTACAGCTGGGTCACCAGACATCTGCCCGAAGTTCCTGGCTGCCATGACTTTTGAACCTAGTCTCATACCTGAATTCCTAATCCAATGTCAGAGGTAGGATTAGACAGCTTGGGGACTCAGAACAGTTCATCCTTCTCAGTGAACCTGACAGTGGGAAACAGGAATCAAGAGAAAACTAGCTTGATCCGTAACTCCATCTTTCTCCCTCCTGTGGAATATTCCATCACATGGCTTCTCCTTGCCATCTGGCTGGGGAATTCCAGACTGCCAAACAAAGGCATCTGTCAGGCCAACTGTTACGTGTCTTTGCAGTCGGTGAAATAGCTGTGCGTGGTTTACAGTGCTTTACATCTCTGCTTCCCTCCTTTCCTCACCCACACTGTCCTGTACCCTTGCTCCCAAAATAACACTGCACCCTCATTCTGGCTTTTGGCTTTGTTTTCTTGAGAATCTGCTCTAAGACACTATGCACCAAATAATGCAACAGACTGTTCCAATCCTATGTAGCTTTTTCTTCTGCATATGCGATGAAGCAAGAGCTATTATACTTTAAAGGATTGTAAAGGATATTGTAAGGGATAGCTGGGTATGAATGATGTTTTGTAAAAATAGCTAATTTTATTATTATCATTATTTTTACTCTTTTTTTGAGAGAGAGTTTTTTTGTAGGGCGTGTGCACTTGCCACAGAGACAAAGAGACAGAAAGCAAGAAAATAACCCTCTGGGGGATGGCCACACTACAATCCATTCTCCTCTCAGGATTTTGGGCATGCAGGCACATGCACCTGGCATGAGTTTCAAGCCCTCAGGTCTGGGACTCAAACTACGTTCAGTCGTGTGGGAGTCTAGCACTTTGACCATTATGCCACCTGCTGGCCCTGTTATCATTATTTTACATTTTGTTATAGGACACATGTGCTCACCAGAGAGAACAGGGAAGGAGAGAGGGAGAGTGAGAAAGCAGGTCGCCAGCTCAGGACTTGAGCTACAGTAGGCCACATGGGAATCCAGCACCTTAACCACCATGCCACCTGCCGGCCCCAAGTGATTTTTTTTTTCTTTTTGCATGCTGAGTTTGGAACCTAATTTCTTTATAAACTTATAAATTACAGCTCCACTGTGAGTGTTTTACTTCTGTAATATTATATGACTCTTTGAATATGAAGATTTCCTTTGGCAAAAAGTGGTCAACATTGAGATTAGTAATATTAAAGTAAATACTTTTTTTTAAGTTATTTTTTTTATTTACTTTTAATTTGACCAGAGAAGGACAGAGAGAGAGAGAGGACAAGTGGGAAAGCAAGCTGCGAGGACCGGGACTCAAACCGCAGCCAGCCATGTAGGAGTCCAGTACCCTTAACCACCACACCACCTGCGGGCCCTAAAGTAAATATTTTCATTTACTGTGTTTTAGGATTAATTTAAAAATTAACCCTACTTGTTGGGCCAGCCCATTGCCTGATGGTTAAGGTAGCTGGATCTCACATGGCCAACTCTTCAGCTTGAATCCTAGTCCTGGCACCTTAAAAAACATACCAGGTACATGGCTTGCACATACCCAAAATCCTGA